AAGATTTTATTTATTTATTTGACAGAGAGAGACACAGTGAGAGAGGGAACACAAGCAGGGGGAGTGGGAGAGGGAGAAGCAGGCTTCCTGTTGATCAGGTAGCCCAATGCGGGGCTCGATCCCAGGGCCCTGGGATCATGACCTGAGCCGAAGGCAGACGCTTAACAACTGAGCCACCCAGGCGCCCATAAAGCCAGGCTTTCTAACAACTTATCCAATGACTTTTCCCCATCCTCTGTTGAAGGTTCATATAAAAGCCAATCTGAACACCAAGGTTCTATGTGTTTCTGATGTTTATGAGCTTTATGATCTTGACCAGTTTTTTTAATCTCTCTGAACTTCAGTGTCCTCATAAGTCAAATGGGAATAATGATGCCCAAAATGCCTGGCAGGGAAGATGTATCAAAAAGATGAGAAAATATATGGAAAGCTCTTAAAAAATTTTCTGGGACTGTGTGAATTAGGTGTTTTTAATTGCATTTAAGGAAAATAGAATTACTTCACCTTTCTTTTCATAAATACTTTAAAGACAATTCTTAAATTGGACAGTATTCCAAACCATTTTCTCTTCCACCTTTACTTTTCCTGCTTTTTGCTTAATGAATTACTTATTTTAAGGTAGATTTTGTGTTAGAAGATGTACTAATAGGATTGAAAAAGGATAAATATTTAACTTAGAAATTACAAATTTAACAATTTCATTGTGGAAAACACATTTAGAAAACATTGGAATTGCTCCTCTTTTGTTCCTCTAAATCTAGATCAGGAAAGCAGAGCAGACTTCAAAGATATCTAAGGAACAAACACTAATAAAACAACACAAGCAAGTGTGGTGGCAGGAACACCAACGGCTAACTGATGTCAGGTAAGAACTGAGGAAAATCTCTACAAGAACATGTGAGACTTGCTAAGAGTTGCACTTAGTTAGATGTTCTATAACTTTCCGTGTTAATTAAACCATTAAAAAATTAAAGTTACAGTTTGCGAGTCAAATTAAAATTCCTTCATTTCCTCAATGTAATTTGAAATCCAGCGAATACACTAATATGGCTTTTGCTTTCCTTAGGAAGAAAAAAGATAATCTTCTATATCTGCTGATCATTTACTCTTCTATACTCCCTCTCATACTTGTAATTATTCGTATTGCCCTTAGCATATTGAATTATAATGTCTTGTTTACATGTTTGTTTTCCCTATAAAGTGGCAAACAAGGGCAAACATCCCATCAGTTTTATCTTTTCATTGTAGGATTCATAGGAGGAGATATAGAAATGCTTTCAATAAATGAATGAACGAATGAACTAAGGGGTTCAGGTTGTTCACGGATTACTAGATGTAGCTGCATCATGACTAACTTAGTCAATTTGCATTTTTGACTTTTGTTATTATTTCCAGCACTTGTTAAGAGATGAAGCAACAAAATAATGGTTCTATCCTTGTTCTTAATTGTAATCTTTGAAAAATACATTTCTTTCAAAGGTCAGGGCAAAAAGAGAAGGCAGATGTGTTTCCCCTCCATGTGAAGCATATATGCTAGTTTTAATGATGGTGGTATTTGTAAAATATGCTTTTAAAAATGTATGTTTTTAATTGTATATTTTATATCAAAGTAGATCATTTTGTGGTCTTATTCTAAGTCAAATTTCCAAAGGTCATTAACTTTACTTTTGATATAGGGACTTTTCAAATTAGTAGGAGTTTCTTATTCTGGCAAGAGGTTCCTAACTGTGAACTAAAAGGCTCATGATTGGATATGGTTTTACATCATTGTATAACTTAAGACATAGAAAAACAAAATTATATGCACTTCGTCACCATGCTGCTGACATAAAAACAAATCAGACCCATTATATCTCTCAAAAAATCACCTTTTATGGAGAGAATGAATGAGCCCATTAGAATTTTTTTTTTTTCAAAATTTGCATGACTTGGTAGAAAGGAAAGCCATTAGAAAGTTTTTATTATGGCGCTCCCTGATGAAAGCTCAGATGTAAAGGAAGACACTGGCGAAAGTTCTTACCTTGGCTGTTCCACACGCTTCTAACTGTGTGCATTAGCTGTTCTAGAGCTAGATAGAAGAGGCATATCCATATCATTGTGGAAAATAGTTATTTTGGTTGACCTGGAATGACACAAAGGCAATGGAAGGGAGGAGCTTTCAAGTAATAGCCTTAATGTCTTGAAACTTGTAAGTGCTGAAAATTGGACAAAAAGAAGAATTCTAAGGTGATTTTCTGTGTTATTCTAGAAAGCAGACTAATTTCAGTATGTTTTCAGTGAAATTAAAAACTCATAATGAAAGGAGGAAAGTTAGAGAAGTGGCTAGATTTGTGGAGAATTTAGGGACCACCAGAAAATCAGGAGTGTGAACTCTAACCTTTAAAAACCTAATAAAAGGGACGCCTTGGTGGCTCAGTTGGTTAAGCGACTGCCTTTGCCTCGGGTCATGATCTCAGGATCCTGGGATGAAGCCCCGCATTGGGCTCCCTGCTCAGCGGGAAGCCTGCTTCTCCCTTTCCCACTCCCCCTGCTTGTGTTCCCTCTCTCGCTGTCTCTCTCTGTGTCAAATAAATAAATAAAATCTTAAAAAAAAATAAAAAATAAAAACCTAATAAAAGATTAAAAGTAAAATATTTTTATGCCTCACCATAAGAGAGTCCATTTGAGAATCTCAGGCCCACAGAAGGTAGGGGACTGCAATGACATTGAACTTTTGTTGGGTTATTTAGTATGTGGCAGGTAATATGGCAAATAATTTATATGCTTTATTTCATTAAGTCCTTATGATGACCCTACAGAGTAGGTATCATTGCTATTCCCACTTTACAGGTGACAATCTTGAGTTTCAGAGGATCAAAGGTATTCACGGAAGGTAAATCAGCTAGTTTATGTGAAGATGGCATTGGAGCACTTGCCTTTAACTCCTGTGCTCCACGAACCTGGAGTTCAGAAGCTTATTTCCCCCACAGGGTTCCATTCATATCACCCGAGGATCTAACTGGTCTAATCCTGCTAGAAAAATTTTTTTTTTTGCCAAACTTTAATTCTTTGAAATCTGTCCTCAGGAAAATAAACACATAAAATTTCCAGATATATAATACTTAAATATAATATTTAAAATATATAATATTTAAATTTTAAAAATTTCATATTAAACTTATAAAATTACATTTAGTATTTAATATGCTTTCTCAAACTATACCCTCGGAGACCTTGATATACTCTCTCAGGGGTATATCCCTTGTTTCAGAATGACTGGTTTAGAGGTTAAGGAGGGAGTTATTTATATTGACCATGTGGTAAAGAATTACAATTTTTATTTTAATCAGAACTGTTGAATCATAAAATTTGGAAGGTTTATTTGTACACTTTACTACTTGTATGATAATTCCTACAAGGGATGTTTTATAACCAAATCTCTGTTAGAAATACATGTAGTCTCTTGCTCACAGTTTTATTTTTATTTATTTTTTTTTTGTAGTTTTAGTTTTAAAACATTATTTTGAAAATATCTCCTTTTTACAGAGGATATCATGGGGTTTTAACAACAACAATTAAATGTCTATAAATGCATCTTTAAAGATAAAATTGACACCAGTATTCATACTGTGCAACTCAGAGCCTCAAAGAACTCTCTAAGCCCGGCTCCTGAGTGCCTTCCCTGGCCATTGGTTGTGGGACTCCCTTCTCTGTCTCTGTGGTATGCTCGCTTGGGATAGACTCTTTCAAGTGAGAAGTGGATCAAATAGCTGAATGTAAGGAACCAAGCTGTCTGACCTGCTGAGTTCCTTCCCTGTGGAAGAGACAGAGCTTTGACCTTCAGCCTGCTCTGGTACCCTAATTTTCTGCAGGTCTCCTGGCTGTTAGTTCCATTAATGGAACTTTAACATACTTTCTTGCTCTGCCTTTCATGATCCATGTCCCTTTGCTTATTGTTTGCTTATGGCTTCTGCCTCTACCATTCTTGTACCCCCTGTTTTGTTTGCTCTACCCAAAGTGGTAACTAAGTGGTTACCCTAGAAATCTCAGGAAGCTCTGGCAATGTTTGATGTTCTGAGGAGACTGATTCTACATCGAGAACTTTGGCACCATCCTGGAAGGATGAGGACCTATATGGCAGTAGACTCCTGAGAGTTCAATAACACCCATCACCAGGCTGGCTTACATTGCGGGTGATTGCATTGCAATTAGGCAGATCTAGGAAGTAGATTAACATATCATCTAGCAAATGGTCACACAAAAACTCAGGAGACTTTTTTGTAGTACCATCAGATTCACTGGTAACAGAGGATAGGCCAAATAGCATTAGGAGGTACTTAAATTGGCAGATTTGGGCAGGGAAAGCCGCCTTACATTTGTTCACTCTTCAGACGGGGAAGATGTTGTATGTGCTGCAGAGTTCCAACTTGGAGAACACCCGGGACCTGGTCTGGCATGTCAGTGATGAACAGGGTAGGGTTCTATTCTCCAGAGTTACCATTGTTAATGCTCTTGAGTCCACCAGAATTTTTTTAAAAGATTGATTGATTAATTGATTGATTTTAGTGGGGAGGGGAGGGACAGAGGTAGAGGAGGAGAGAGTCTTAAGCAGACTCCACGCTGAGCATCGAGCCCTATGCAGGGCTCGATCCCACAACCTTGAGATTATTACCTGAGCCTAAAGAGTCAGATGCTTAATCAACTGAGCCACCCAGGAGCCGCCCAGCCACAATTTTTATATTTCCTATATCATATTCTACAAAACAGAAATATTCTTCAAGATACTCCATTGAGAGTAATGAATTTCGTATTCCTATAAATTAGAAAATATATTTCCTACCCTTTTTGGATAACCTCAATGCACTTTAGCATAATCAAGTTTTTGAGAAATCCTATACCATAGAAACATACCTGATTTTGTTTAGTTTACTATTTCCCATTCCCCCCAACCCCAGCTTCTCATTGACATTATTGTTTTATAGAACACAATTCAGGAAATGTTAGCCTATATTTACAAGCTAGTTTCAGAGTCTCGTAGTTCTTGAGGGCATAAAAAAATGCTTTTGGATTTTGTTGGACAATCAGGACAATCAGAAAAAAGCCCTGGTCTTGGCAGATGGGTTAGGTTGTTAATCTAACAGGATAGAACTTACTAGAATTATTACATATAAGTAGCAGGTTGGTCTCCTGTATGAACAAAGCCAGTTCTCCTGTTGGCTTATATGTTTTACTGTGATTTTCTGGATGCTGAAAATTTAAAGGCACTGAGCTGGACAATTGATAAGTGCTATGTTTTTGTTTAAACAAATCCACCATGAAATAATTTCTGGTTTTATTTCACTATTATGCACCCATCCTCCATGTAATAGTTTCAAATATATTTCTGGCAAAAATTTTTCTGGCAAAAACTACATATTAAAAAAGTAGACAGTGAAGTGTCATCTACAATAGCACTCCTCCTTTATAGATATGAATAAAACCTCTGTCCCATGTAAGTGAGTTGGCTTAGAAGATGGTGGCACATATATAAAATAGAATATGATGTGGCCATTAAAGTAAATGGTAATTGTGAGAATTATTAGAAATATCTTAAAATGTTATTGAAAAACCCCAATATAAAATGGTAAATATGTCATAATTATAGTTATTTAAAATATATATGCATGTAGACAAAGACTAGAAACATATGCAAAAATAAAAATAATCATTGTATTAAAGTATTGTAATTGATGCTATTTTCTTATTTTATACCATTTCTAGTATTATATTTTAGCAATCATGATAAATCAAAACTCTTTTCTATGATTTCATTAAATCTGCCATAAGCAAGGGATAGACTACAATGTTTTTGGATGTCCATTTAGAGCTGGTTATGGTTTCATTCTAAAAATGACTATAACTAAATAATATGATAAGAAGTCATTAAGATGTATTACTTTTATTAGTGTATAAAAATAAAACATACTTGTACTCCCATTTCCCTATTTCAGGACCTCATCATCTCTTAACTTTTGAAATAACCTCCTTGTTGGTCCAGGTTTAGCTGATCCCCTCCATCTTCATTTTCTGTTTTTATTGACCACCCCTCCTTTCAGCCCATCCTCCATTTTGCTGCCTTGGGAATCTTTGTGAAACACAGCTCTGCTTGGCAGGTGAGGTCGGCTTAATTATCCTCAGTGGCTTCCTACTGTCCTAAGCTCTTTGCACACGAAGCAGTGCTAGGATGTGCCATGTGTTTGCCTTTGCTCATGCTGTTACATCTGCCTGGAGTGTTCACTTATGCTTCTTTCTATCTCAGTGTCTGGCAAGTGTCCAACCCATGTTAGGAATTTAGTGTATGGTCTGAATAAATGAACAGCTGAATGGGACCACATTAGATTAAATTTCTAGTAGTTTTTTAAATCTATATATGTTCACGATTATTTAAAAAAATTGATGGAGATAATGTCTATTTCAGGTGTAAAATGGAATCTGAAATTAAATCCTTTCTCAGTGAAGAGAACATTGGAAATGAATGTCTTTCTGACCTTACAAATTTTGGTGAGTTGTTTTCCTTTTTGATCCTATATTTAAAGGGGAATTTTGTTTTGAAGATGAAAGTGGGCCACTCACTTTAAGTTCTCTTACTATTAACTGCTTGTTTTTTTTCTGAAGGAATCCAAAGCAAAATCTGCCCTCTAAGACCTGTTCTTGAAGAAACTTAAAATAATAATGTGTTACCTGGATCTAATTTTCTTTCTCTATAGAACAAGAGTTATCAGAACAATGGTACACATATCTTAAAAATGTGATAAATCCTATTCAGCAGTTGAGAGCAGATCTAAAATACAGACAGCATCACATTTCACAGCATTCATACTCACATATTGTGCTTAACTCAGTGAAAGTACTGGAAGAGGTCAGTATATTACCTTTACTTCTAATAATGTAGTATTTCATTTTTGTTCCAACTAGAACAGTTTGACATAAGAAACAAATGTGTGCCTTGTATTTAAATAGAAGGTATAGCAAATTCTGTCTCTTCAGTATCTTAAACATATCCCTGAATGTGTCCAAGCATACTTATTTCTCTCCTGAAAAGTTACAAGGGCCTCATGACTAGTCTCCCTGCGCTCATTCTTGCCACTCTTCACAGTACATTTTGGTATTCTACCTTCGGCGCAGGGAGATCAAGTCATCCCCCTGGTAGATCCCCTCAAGGCTCCTGCTGGCCCACAGTTCCTCCCTATACATCCTGCTGTCTCTCTTCTTAAACCTCATCTCTTGCCTGACACTCCCCCTTTCTCCTAGACCTTGTCACACTGAGATTGGCCTCCCATCTATTCCTTATATGTGCCAGACTGCTTCTCATCTCAAGGCCTTTGCATCACCTGTTTTCTCTGTCCCACTGATGGCACTTTTTGTCACTTAGGTCTTAGCTTAAGTGTCCTGTCCCCTGAGAGGCCCGTCCTGATCATCCACGCAAGAGAAGCTACAGTCATTCTCTATTACGTTACCCTGTTTTTATGTCACTTACCTCCTCTTGATAATTGTCTTATCTTTTTTTTTTTTAAAGATTTTACTTATTCATTTGAAAGAGAGAGAGCATGAGTGGGGCAGGGAGGAGCAGAGGGAGAGGGAGAAGCAGACTTTCCACTGAGCAAGGAGCCCAATGCAGGACTCAATCCCATGAACTGAGCTGAAGGCAGACACTTAACTGACTGAGCCACCCAGGCGTCCCTGGGCATGGGATTTTTAAGGCCTATTAGAAAATATATTATTTATGAAACCAATATAACAACATTACGGAATAACTGAAAAATAGTAAGAAAAATCACCTAAAAGCATACATCTAATGCCATTATGACTGTGGAGCTTACGCTGTAGTCAGGGGAGGTAGTCAATAAACTAATAAAAAAATAGATAAGGGGTGCCTGGGTGGCTCAGTTGGTTAAGTGTCTGCCTTTGCCTCGGGTCATGTTTATGCTCTCTCTCTCTCTGACAAATAAATAAGTAAGTAAGTAAATAAATAAATAAAATCTTAAAAAATTAACCCCATGCCCAGCTGGGGATTGGAGGCAAGGATGCAAAGGGAGAAGGGGCGATTGAACCAGAGACAATCTGGTAAGCTCTCTGCTTTAACACAAACAAAATCCAAATAAGGGTGCAGAGTGGCTATGACCCCACTGTACTTCCTAGGCCCATTTTTAGGATATGTTCTGGAAGCCCCCTCTGATAAGCACTGCCTGGCTATGGCATCTCTTGAACCCTTTTCCACAGGTCCTCAAAGAAACCTTCTCTTATCTATATCCTCTAGGTTGACTTCGTGAAGAAACAATTGACTGCTGTCTTTGAAAGACTTAGTCTGGAGCAACAGAAAATAGAAAATTATCTTTCAGACTGGAGTATGAAGGTAAGTGTGATGTGTTTAGTAATTTGTTTACCAGTTTGTCATTTATATTAAATAAAACCATCATATATTTTTTTTTTCAGATACTAGATTATTCTTCAGAAGAAAGAAGTAACCTGCTTAGTGAACTGCCCATGGAATTAGAAACTTTGGAATGCCCATATCCTGATTTGAAATCTTCGATCCTTCATGAGTTCTGTAACTTTACAGAGAAATATAAAAAAAAACTTCAAGACTTTGATCTGCAGTTAGAAGACATATCCAGGTGATAAGATAAAACTACTTGAATTATGTAGGTTTTTGCCACTACATTTTAATATTTATTATTTTAATTTCATTTATTGTTTTCATAGTTACTATGTGGTTGGAACATAGTCAATCAATAAATGTTTAGATTGACTATTTGTTGAATGAGGGTTCTCTTTCCTCCAAAATAATTTTCCTGAACAATGACTTTAAAGATTTTTACAAGGTTGAAATGTGATGAAAATAACTCCTCACTGAGCTCTTTACTGCATAATTAAGAAGCAGTTTAAAGCATGAACTTTCAGTAACTATGAATTTTGATTTTAAGGTGTGAAGCTCTTCTTCAGTGGGAATTTATAAATCAGTACTAATAATAATTGATTGCAATGGAAAATGTACCCATGGAATTATGTTACTTGTAATCCACTATGACTTTGTCCTACAGTAAACACAAAGTATGTTTTATAAATTTTTAAAAACATGTTAAATTTTTTTTAGAAAATGGACTTTTGGATGTATCCTGAGAATGACAAATCCTCTTCTGAATGACAAATACAATATTAGGGCATTTAAAATTCAGTTTTGGCAGGGTCATCTTCTGTAGTATAAATTCTGTATTAAAATTAAGTTAATGAACAAAGCCAGAAATGCCACCGTAGGTTAGATCATTAGCTAACCTCATATGTGTTTTGTACATGAAGTTTCTGAGGAATATTTTATAGGAAAATAGACCTTTTATTCGATTATATTGACCTGAAAATTTTCTTCAAAGAATATGTATTTTGAAAAAAAGGAAAACTATTGAAGGGACACATTTATACTAAATTAAAGCAAGTTTTTACTAAATTTCTTACATTTCTTAATGAATTGCCTATAAATGAAGCTCCTTTATATGAAATTGCTAGTGTTAAGAAATAAGTAACAACAAGGAAAACCTTAAATCCTACCAAGTAGAGTTCTTTGCTTTAATAGCTTCTTGATCCAACTCTGGTTACAGCTTCTACTTGTCTTCACATACTTGGAGAGGCAATCCTAGGTGAAGTCTGCATCTTTCCTGACCCATGCTTTTTCTTACATCTCTATGGGGGTGGTCATGTGTTCCTCCTAGGCATACACTTTTTGGTCTTCTAAGAGCCCCTTCTCTCCCCACCTCTTTGCCTTCCTTTTTTCCATCCCACCTTGCAATAAAGCTGGGGGAAAAATTAATAATATATCATTTATATGTGCTGATTGATTAATTAATTACACTTTAATTGAAACTCAGTCACAATGAAATGTTAACTCAACCATGCACTTAGGTGAAGTCTCTAATTGTAAAATAAACATCCTCTCTCCCTTCCCCATCCCAACCTTGTTAAAGAGATTTTAGAACTCATCAAGTAGGGAGAGGGGTTTCTGTTTTTGTTCTTTTGTTTTTCTAGGGGATGCATTATAATCAGGCTGCTTGTGGCTATGAAGAAGGCAAATTTGACTCCTTCCTTTGAAAGCATGTTGACTGCCCTATTTATTACCTTTCCTCTCAGATGTATTTTGTCCCCCTAGGAAATCTGGTTGAGATTGTGGTTTTTCTAGGTTAGTAGCTCCTAAGCATAGAAGAGTTTGCCTTAGCAGCCTATAGTGGATCCTTTCCACTAAGACCTATTCTTCACAGCCCATTTTCCTACTTTCCTTTTCATGAGAACTCAGTTTCTGCTCTTCCTTTGTACAATGCTGTACCACTCAGAAAAAGTTGAGATTCACAGTTCCATTGCCAATACTGAGATTTAGGTAGAGAATAAGATGAATATATATCACATGCTAAGATTTCTGCATTGGGAAGGCACACTGAGGGAAAAATAGCTTAGGAAAGCTTAGTGGAGGAGGTGAAGTTTACTATGGAGTTTAAAGATTGAGTAGAATTAGAATAAGGCAGAAAGGAGGTAGGGAGGACATTCTAAGAAGGGATATTAAATGATTAGACTGTAAAGCCCTTGAAGACAAAATAATTTATTAGCAATATTTGCTAATATCCTTAGCACCTAGCACATCCTGGCACATAGCAGCTTTCAAATAAACGATTGTTCAGTTGATTTGAATTAAAGGTGAAAACATTGAAGGTGAGAGGGGCAAGGCCTGTTATAGGAGCAGTAGGAATCCACTTTGGAGGAATATAGGTTCATAAATTCTAGCTTAAGAGTCTGCTTGCCACAAATAATTATCCAAAATAAATTTTATATAATTACTGATATGTTTTACTAGATGAATATTTATTGGGTAATCCTTAACATATAGTGGTTTCTGCTGAGCTCCTTGGTAGGGGGGTAAACAGACAGACTAGATTAGAATATGGCCTTGCCTTTTAGAAGGCTTAGAATGTTTAGGGGAAGCAACATATACACATGTATCCTGCCCAAATAAAAACTATATGCAAACAACAACCGAAGAGATGATTTTATAAATAATGCTGGCACTGAATGATGAAGCATCAATAAAACTGAATGAGTTTTCAGGAGTAGTCTGTTTAAGAAGAAAGAGAGTAAATGGGCTATTTTCAATAAATACAGAGGTCGTTGGCCTCAGCAATCTGTGGCTGGTGGGCAGTAAGTCATATAAATGTACTGTTCTAATTCGCATAATGAATTATATGTTTAGCTATAATACTCATTGGATTTAGAGTTTGCCAGTACCTGCCACTATTTTGATATGGCCATTTCCCAATTTGGTTCTAGTTATTAGGCCTTGTGAGAATTCATATAGATTGTGTACATATATGTACACACCTATACAAGTGAGTGGATGCTTATTTTAAACATGTGTAATGCTGTGACATAAGAAGGTTGAAATATCTGGGGGACATTTTTAAATTATAAAATTTTCATTGGGCTAAAGGCAGTTGACCATGGTTAATCCCAACATTTATTTTAATTCCTTCTATTTTGTCGCAGCTCACTGGTTTGGGTTGCAATGACTCTATCCCCATATCCAAAGATAGGCTCTGGTGTTAGGAGTGTGCACCAGTCAGTAACCTCATTTCCCCAAGGTACAGCAACTCGATTTTACTCTGAGTGACATAGGAAGCTATTGGAAGCAGAAGTGTGAGAGCAGTGTGAAGTAACAAGACCTAACTTAGGTTTTAGCAGGATCACTTTGGGAGTTGCTGTGTTTAAGATGGAGGTAGAGAGGGGCAAGAAAAGATTGAACACTTAGGAGGTTATTTAAGTAACCCAGGTGGGGGGCGCCTGGGTGGCTCAGTTGTTAAGTGTCTGCCTTCGGCTCAGGTCATGATCCCAGGTTCCTGGGATCAAGCCCCGCATCGGGCTCCCTGTTCAGTGAGGAGCCTGCTTCTCCCTCTCCCACTCCCCTGTTTGTGTTCCCTCTCTAGCTGTCTCTCACTCTGTCAAATAAATAAAGATTAAAAAAAAAAAGTAACCCAGGTGGGAGATAATGGTGGCCTGGATCAGGAAGTGGAGATGGTATGAAATAGCCAGCTTTTGGACATATTTTAAAGGTAGAGCCCACAACAGCTGCTGACAGAGTTCATAAGGTATGTGAAAAAGAGCAACAAAAGAATAATCCAATGTTTTTGGGTTGAGCAACTGGAAAGATGGAGTTACCATCAACTGAGATGGGGAAGACTGTAAAAAAAAACAGGGTTGGACTTTGTGGAAGACCAGGTGTTCAGGTTTGGACATACTGAGTTTGAGATGCTGTCAGATATCCAAGTACAGATTTTGTGAAGGCAGTCAGTAATATGACTGTGGAGTCCAGGAGAGATATCTGAGCTGGAGATTCATATTTGTGAGTCATCGCCATGAAATCAGGTGTGATCACCAAAATAGTGAGTGAAGAGACAAAGGAGAGAACAAAGATCCCTAGGATCTGGTGGCATTAAATCATCAGCGAGGAGAGGGATACCAACACTGGATGCTGAGAAAAGGTCTATGAGATGTGAAGAAAACCAAGAAACTGTGTGTCCAGGAAGGCAGGTGGAGAGGGAGTGGTCAGCAGTGTGAGCTGAGGAGGGATGATCACTGAATAAATGCTGCTAAGTCAAATAAAATATGACTGATAATTGAAGATTTGCTCTAGATGGTAAACAACTGTTGAGTCATTGGTAACCACTTTCATTGAAGAAGTGGGAACAAATGCCTAATTGGGTTGGATTTAAGTGAGTGGGAGAAGAGGATTCAAGACAATGAGTACAGACAACTTTTCTGAGAAGTTCTATGTAAAGGAGAGCAAGAAAGTAGGGCCAGATTTTCCTGTTGTTGATTTGTCTTTTGTTTTGCTTAAAATGGGGGGGAATATTACTATGTTTGATGCTGATGAGAATAATCCAGTGTTGGGATTTGGTACACAAGTAGAGGAACAAACAGATAGTTCATTGACTACAGTAACAGGTGGGGATGCACAGTATATGGTGCAGGTACTAAGAAGTGAATAGATGTCAGAGTGGCAGTCCGTGGAACTCTGGGTAGTAATTCTAAATACAAATGATAAAGAAATTTATGAAAACCTCTCTACTCATCAAAGCAATAAAAATTTTTTTTAAATGCTTAGATTTTTACCTACACAATGGTAAAATATAAAAAAATTATCCAAGGTTGAAATATGGAAGAAATGGGCATTTTTATACATGAATGGTATATAAATTCTTTTGGAAGGCAATCTGGCACTATGTCATCAAAAATCTTTATAAATGTGAGTAATCATTGTTTAGAAATAATCTTAAAGGAAATAATCATAGAAGTGAAATAAATAGTTGGCTTCAAGAATATTCAACGTTGTTTTTTTCCTTTCTTTAGTGATAGCAAAATCCTCAAAATGACGAAATAGCCAACAATTTGAGGATTACCTTCATCAATTATGATATATCCACGTAATAGAATACCACAGTCATTAATAATTATATTAAACAATTTTTAATGATACAAATAATTGCAATAAGTTGTTATGCAATTAGAAATTAGGCCACAAAGTAGTGGATTCTCTCTCTTTTTTTTTTTTTCTTTTCCCTCTGAAAGTGTTACATTTATAAAGCTGCAGAAAAAAGACTGGAAGTTTATCCAAACAATAACAGTAGTTATCCCCAAGAGGTAAAATTATAAATTAAGTTTGGCATACATGCTTTTTTCTATTTGTAAAGCAAAAACACAAACTTTTAAAAATCTAAGT